AAAAGAAAGAAAAAGAAAAAGAAAAAGAGAAAGAAAGAGAAAGAGAAAGAGAAAGAGAAAGAGAAAGAAAAAGAAAAGAAAAAGAAAAAGAAAAAGAAAAAGAAAAAGAAAGAAAGCAGTGTTTCTCAATCTCAGTAACTTTAAGAGGTGTGGATGTCAACTCCAGAGTTCCCCAGCTGGTCAGTATCATCTGGTCAATATCATCTAATGCAAGGGGTGGGGGCACCCTGGTTAATGGAATTATTCCGCCAATGGAAATTAGAGGGCGTGAATTAGAGTGAAATGCCAAGAGATTTTGCTGCAGTATTCCAAAATGAGAGAGCCGTAGAACTGAATTGTCTCGGCTCCCATTTATCTACTACCCTGGACATTATGACTCAAGGTTCCTCTACCTGTTGTTTTCATACCTTTCAGTTAAAGGATTTTAATTATCTGGCTGGCAGGCAATTGCATGAGCTGCTTGGGGACAAGCTGGAACATCTATAGTTCTATTTTTTTAAAATTCAAGCAAAATCCTGGCTCATTAACTAGAGCTCTTCCTGGCGAATGCTAGACTGTAGACACGGATATTTAATAAAAATTTATCGAGGAGTGAAGAAGTAAATATCATACCTAATTGAGCATAAAACAACCAAATATTTCATACGGGAGAAAATGGAACAATGCCCAGCAATGTAATAGGTGGAGGAAAAATATATATATATATGTGGCTGTAAAATGGGGGAGGGGAGGGGGGAAGCACCTTCTAAGTTCCACACCAGAACAAATGCATTGCAATTCGATTAGTTCTACTCAGTCAACCAGGATGGTCTCATGTTCATCCTTCCCTTTGTTAGTCAACAGATCCCTCCTCTCCCCAATTTTATACTTTCCCTCCAATGCAACCATAAGCATCAGTGGAGAGTTTTAAAAACCAAATGCTGCAGGTGGCTGAAGAACAGGGCTGGGTTCATCAACCTGAGAACCCACCTCCTTGTTCTGGAGGGGCAGGAAAGAAATCTCATCAACGGAGAAGCAAACTCAACATGCCAATTCATTCTCCCTCGTATCTGCTCATTTTCCATTTTCCTGTCTTTGTGCTACAGATCTCACAAGGTTTTGGGGAGGTGGACAGAGAACCTCACACGGATTTGCAAGGGGAAGGAGGCCGGGCCAACAAAGCCTTGCCTGTTGGTACATACATCACCACACACACACAGATGGGCAAGGCTGGGGTATCTGCAAGATATGGTCAAAAAAGTTAAGATGGCCACAATGGTTTTTTTAAAGCATATACTCTTAACTTTAAACTTGATTACCATCATTGATCAGCAATCGAGTGTAATAACCAAAACCTAAAACATTGTAAAATACCTAACAACCTTTGAATATAAGCAAAATTACCAAAGACTACAGATGGTCATTCTGTCCTATGGTAGTGACCGTCTCATGGTGTAACCTTGTCAGTAAGTATATATATTTTTGAGATAGATAGATAGATAGATAGATAGATAGATAGATAGATAGATAGATAGATAGATAGATAGATGGATGGATGGATGGATGGATGGATGGATGGATGGATGGATGGATGGATGGATGGATGGATGGATGG